CTGGTATGTCTGCAAGGCCTAGTTCTATATAATCAAAGAGCTGAAACAAAGTAGCTGCTACATGTTTGCAATGACCACTCGTACCAGCAGGGCAGCAACATTTGCGTATACTACATCGCTTGAATTTTGGTTGAGGTGTGCATAGACAAGATATTGTTTTTTCTTCATTTCAGCCATAACATTACACCGCACAAGAAAATATACTGTCTCATCACCTTTTCGAAAATTTGGCTTTACTTTAAACTGCCTTGGATAACCTGCTTTATATAATTTATGTCCACTTTTTTGTGTTTCATTGCTCCAACAGGCTGTCCATCAAATATTATTAAAAATAATAATTCAATATACTATATAATTTAAAACCTACTTGTTTAATTTATGCTAAAAGGATATGAGCCGACCACAACAAAGGAAGCAGAAAACAAACGACAGTGGAGACAAAAAACTTTCTTATTTTTGTATATTTCACAGAGTGACAGAGCCGAAGCGGAAATCTTGTTTTGTTCCCGCCAAAGAAACATAAAGTATCTAAAGCAAACGTCGTCTTTGCAGCCATGCTCATCGAACGATCGGCAAACATTTACGACTTCAAATGTTTTGGATTCAACAAGCAAAAAAATCCATGCAAAACACTCGATCGCTGTGTAAATATGTCGCACAGGTCTAGCAACAACACATCAACAATTGTTGTTAAAATCGTGAGCAGTAAGTTATCCGTTAAGCTTACTCACCTTAAAACATTGAAAAATACCCTCCCCTTCGAATGATTTTGTGAGGCGAATCCCCGTAGCTTGTATAGTTCTATACGTATTTTCTCGTTCATTTTTGCTTCGATTTCACTCTACCTTGCACGAAATATAGTTTATAGTATATAAAAGCCAAATTTGGTTTCAAAATTAGTAAATGCTACGAAAAAAGTAGATAAAAGAATCGTTCTTTCTCGCAAGCAAAATGAACTCCTCGCGGCGGCCATTTCCTTTGCAAGTGAAAGGTTACCGCATTTCCCATGATGCTTTGCTATAATGCAAATTGCCTACTAGAACCATATCGTAGTTCTTATATAGTTATAGGCTAATTTGTAACAATTGTCTGAAATCAAACCAACTAGAGAAAAAGGTTAGGACGTTATGTTTATATGGGCAAAAGGGAACATAATGAGTAATTTGTTGAAAAGTTAATTGTGAATTAAGGAGCGTAAAAATGGAAATAAAAATAACCAGATGGATCATAGGCCTATACCTTCGTCTTATTTTTAAAATTGAAAATAGAAAGCTGATTGGCTGTCGTTTAAAAGAGCCAATCAGCTTTCTATTTTCAATTTAAAATTATGACGAAGGTATAGGCAAGGTGTCCCCAGCATAGGTTTTGTAATATATTTGCCAGAAACCCAAAAAACATTCACGTTTTATACATGCATAGGAATACATTTGAATGCTAAAAATATAGTATAAATGTAGTAAAATTATTCAAGTTTAATGTGTTGTACTTTTTTTCTTATTCGCCATATTTTTACGAAATATTTGCGGTTTTGTGAAGGTGTTTAAGTCAACCTTCGTGCGTTTTTAGCTTATTTGGCGTGAGAGTTGCCAACCTTGTCATAATATAAGACTGTTCAGACAACATAAGCGTCGCGCGAGGTCAGTGAGATCAGTTCTGGGCCGCCTATGGATGGATTTAAACTTTTTGATCATTGCCAAAAGAAATTCAGATCTCAATAAAACTTTCGCTTTGTGATTTTCCTTCCAAATTCGAATTCGAACAAGCATGCGGCTATGTGCCAGCAATTTTGTGCACATGCAGCTGTTTATAGCTCAGAAATTTTACGGGAACATATGCCTAAGCAGCTGTGAAATTTGTAGACCAGAGGGCGGTTGTATCAAGCCCGTTTAGCTTAAACGGTGGATAAGTTCAAAATAGAAAGCAAGTCTATCGTTTTATTCAACAAGCAAACTAAATGTTTTCAACCTTAATACGAAGATACTGTTTACAACTACATATTCAGTGCATAATATTCAAGCTGACTCATCAAGAGAGATGTAAAAGTGTTATTTAATTTTGACTTATCCACCGTTTAAGCTAAACGGGCTTGATACAACCGGCCCCCGACATTACCAGAAATTCAGGACATTAATTATCATAATGCGAAGATTTCGCAATCAAAGATGGCTGCCTTGTTATAATTCTATATAACAAGGCAGCCGTCTTTGATTGCGAAATCCTCGCATTATGAATTATGAACTTTTATGGTATTTATCGAGCAAGCCGGATGGCTTCAAATCTCAACGAATATCCAAACTTTTAGTACTAAATTTGGCATCCACATTGTTTGTTGTTTGAGACGAACAGCATTTTGTTGATGTGAAATTGCCCTATATTGCATAAGCATTTGTGTGCTTTTGCCGGCTGATGTGTTCAGCTAAAAATAAACCATTTGAACAAATGCGAACATCTTTTGCTATATTCCTTGTCACCAAATTAATAATTGTCAGGGGCGGCGGAACAGGGGGGGCTAGGGGGGCTTTAGCCCCCCAAGGAAATAAAAGATGGGGGCTTAGCCCCCCAAAAAATTTCATGAAGAATGTCAGATTGGGAGAGCAAATAATAATACAAACTACGTTAACATGAAGTCAAATTAATGCTCGCCGGCGTATTAAATGCTAATAAGAATTTGATATCCTATAATATTATTAAATCATAGTTGTCTTTAACAGCAGAATATTCGTGGTTGTACATTGTTATTATTTTCGGACCGTCATTTTGTTCGGAAATTATTTTGGGAGATGATTTTTCAAATGTAGAAGATAGAACTACACGCACTGTGCCGTTTTCAGTTTGTGTTTGAAAGCGGCAAGTAAGACTCTGAAATGGCCATTTCCGAAGATCTAGAGTATTGAAATTCCAAAAAAATTTCGCTCGGCGCCAACCATGGTGGCGCCTCGTTAAATAAGCCCCCCCCCTCCCAAAATATGCGCCACGTACAGCGCGAAAATATATTTGTGGGGTACACGCAAGCCCAATTAGCCCAATGCGTAGCAAATTTCTCAGCTGTTTGCGGCGTCAGCAAAGCTCAAAATCCGCCATCATTTTGCGGACACGATCTCGCGGAGAGCAAGTCCTCTAGGAATTTAAATATAGCGCAGTTCTATAGACGTATTTAAATAACGCGCAGACTTAATTGTAAATGATGAAATAGAAGGAAATATAAATATTAAGTTTCTTAGAAAACATGCTTAAAGTTTAGAAAATTAAGCACGGCTTACGCAAAAATAATTGACGTTTACATGTAATGAGCAAATTTGTTGAAAGTGTTTTGTATAGATCAGAATACTGTACCTGCATAGTAAAGCAATATGATACCTAATATTCTAAAATACACTACAACCACAAAATATTAATATATTCACGAACAAAATATGAATATACAATAATAAATTTGTGCATATTGTGTAAACATTTATTCAATTAACAGCTCCACGTTTTCAACATGCTTCTGCGTGTTTCATGGTATCGTGGAGATCCAGGACTAGGCCAGCTAGAGAAAGTAAATCATATAGGATTACAAACGAGAAGGGAAAGAACAAGTGTTATATAATAACTACAATGAAACCCGCAATTTGATTGGTTCGTAGGCGTCCAGCATGAGACAATCCTGCACGGAAAAGTTAATAATGCCGCTTCGCGCGGGATTTTTAAAATGTTGGACAATTTTACTCGTAAGCTGACTGGCTTGTTTAGGGCCTGTTTACATGGAGCGAGTTATCCTGCTAGGCGAAGTGAAAACTGGATATAATGAAAGACTAATCAGGTTAAGTTTCAACTGATGCGCTTTTTACCTCGACTAGCCGGTATAACTCGCTCCATGTCAACAGGACCTTAGAATTCCAAACTTCCGCTAAACACTCGCCTACGGCTCGTTTTTTTCACGCTGTCGTAGGCAGTTAAATGAATATAACTGGAACGCTACCTTCTGACAGGATGTTGAAGCTAAGTTACCCCCAGTCTTTACACGCAAAAACGAACACGGGCAAACAAAATGTTTTTTTGTGATTTCGTAAATTTGATAAAAACTCCCCGAAAAATTTTTTTAGGAAGTTAAATAACTGATTTAGTTAGTGCTTACAGCCGGCTGAGACATTCTTGATGTTAGCAGAATGCATTTTATTGACCTATTTTTGGAAATGCGAAGTAAGAAGGTTCTTTGCAACGAAAAAGCGTAGAGCCTAGCGTGACAATGCAGGAATATTTGGGGTTTTTTGCCATCTAGTCACTTGGAATTAAGTAAACATAAACTTATAATGTTAAGCAATGTCTACCAAGTGTATTTTGCGATGTAATTTTAGCTTTTAGGATCCGTTTCGTACAAATATTGTTGTCAAAATTGCTATAAACTTGTTCCATTTTAGAGAATTTGTTTCCAATCCGCAACTCCATGCAGTTGTAATTTGTAAAACAGTTCACCTGGTTGAATTTTAGATTAATTCTATTATAATTCCATAAAAAAAAACATTAAAACCATGAAACAAACAAAAATTTACTTGAAAAATTAAATTTCCTTTAAATTCGCTCGGCATCTGCAGTGATCTCGCGAGTCACCCGCGAATGAAGCCAAAAATTTGCGAGACTTTACCTCCAGACACGCGTGTCTGGAGGTAAAGTCCCGCAAATTTTGGCTTCACGAAAACAATGAGGAGATATCGTTCCAGTTATTTATTACAGTTCACTGGTCGTAGGTCCCTGTGCAGCGCCGCCAATTCCGCGTATACAGCAGTTGCTTTAACACTTACTGCGATTCCCAGTTGAGCGTAGAATTGCGAAAGTTTGTTTGTTAAGTTTTGTAGTTTGAAGCAATGTTTGTGACGTCATCTAAAAATGTTGTTAGGCGACGCTCGCCAAGTTGTCAAGGGAAACTGTCAATTTTGTGACCATAAATAGAAGATCTGGCGCCGGTTGTTCAAAAGCAGGTTAAATTTAACCCTGGATTAGTGCTAAACCTGGGTTAAAATCCTTAACCCTAGGTTAGCTAAACCTGGGTTAAACTGTGTTGTTCAAAGCTGGGTTAGCGGTAGGGTTAGTTAACCCAGGGTTAAAATATTTAACCTAAGATTAAATATATTTTTAGGACTAAATTGAATATAAGAACGTTTTCGATTGGTCAATAAACGAGCGTCAAAACTTTACCGGACGAGGATATATTGTCAGCCGAAAGATTATATGCCGTGAGGGCAGGGTCGCAGGGACGTTGTTTTGAACAGCAATTTCCGTGCATGGAATTTTGAAAAGATTCGAAATGAAAGGCCATTTTGTATAATAAACAATGTCGATGTGAAATAAAATAAGGCAAATTATAAACAATCTATAATCTATTTTAAAATTTCAGGCATTCTTTGATTATTCAAAATTCAGGAACAAACGCAGCCTTACCACTTGCTGCCAATCAAAAAACCAAATTTTGGCATCCGAAACAAATATTTCGATTACGATGTTTCATTTTGTACGGTTGTATTCATTTATCGTGTGTTGCATTGAAGTGAAGATAAATAATCAATACATCAGCTGAAACCGAACGAAGCCAAACTTAAATAATTCTTTGCTGTCGAAATTATTCGTAAAACCTTTCAAAAGTGTTTAATTCATGACGAATTATACGTGTTTACGTGTTTCAGCTCCTTATTCATCCATTTTGAATCGAAGTTAACCCAGGATTAAAAAGTTAACCCACCTAGCTAGCAGGGTTATTTTTTTTATCAATTTTAACCCAGGGTTAACGCTAACCGAGCTTTGTGCAACGCTAATCAACCAAGGTTTAAAATTTAACCCTGGGTTAGGCATTTTTAACCCTGGGTTAGCGTTAACCGGCTTCTTGAACAACCGGCCCTGTATAGCGACTAATAACCGCTATTTTTACAGTTTTTACAGTATCTATTTATAGCCGTTAGTCAAAAACTTGAAATTTTTTCCTTGACAACTTGGTCAGCGTCTGTGTCAGCGTCCCTGGCAACATTATTAGATGACGTCACGAACATTGCTTTGAAACTACAAAACTTAACAAACAAACTTTCGCAATCCCACGCTCAACTGGAAATCGCAGTAATGTAAATATAGCATTAGTTGTTTAATACGTCACAAGGATACCTTATAACATAATATAGCACATTATTGATTAATGCATAAATTGATATCAGGTTAATTTTGGGGTCAGATCGCAGTGATTGTAATAAATCGATGGAATACAGTCCCTTGAGTGTTTTGTGCACGTGGGCCAGTGTGCGCGGGATCGTAGTAAAGATTCTGCAAACACGCTTAATTTCCGAAAGTCTCGTAATATCTCGGGGAATATCAGGCTATTATCCTGCAAGGAAAATCATTTAGTACTCCTTTATTTATATTCAGGTCGCTGCATCTCACTTTGTCTTGTTGCAGCTGTAACCATATTTTTACGGATAAACATATTTAAAAGGTAGTATGCTGCTATACGTACGCTAAACGATTCGTCTTTGAAAAGGAACGAACATTTTTCAGCCAACAAGATATGTACGGATACGAGGCAGGATCCACGGTTGTTGTTTTAATAATGCGAAAGACATCCAAGTCCACCTTGCTTGGTTGATTTCTGTGAAAAAAAAAACATCAGTTGCAAGGTCTTACAATTAGTACACTAATAATGAATGTTTATGAGTGCAATAAAGAATCTTTTCATCGAGGCGAAGCCGAGTTGAATGGAACATTCCATATTTCACCGAATGAAAACATTCTCACCTTTGCACGAATGAAAACATTCATTATTTGTTTTATATGACACCATAAAAATCAAGTTAATGAATTATTATTTATTAAGTATAAACATATTGCAAAAGATGCATAGTATATAAACACAATTAGAACTTAGTGAAATTTAGTGAAAGCAACCATGCAACCACGGCTAGACCGTGCAAATAGTTTTCTGCATTGCACGGTCGGTAAAGTTGAAATTTTTATTTAATGCCACGTGATCAAAAACAACCAAATAAAAGACTTATAGTAATGTGTTATACAGGGTGTATAAAAAAAAAGTAGACAATTTTGAAATGTTTAGAAAACTATAAATTTATCAAAATATCTCATAGATTTGTGCTAGTATGGGTACTTTGGCATCTTCAGGTCATTCTAACACTAAAAACAAACAGAAAAATTAACCTCGAAAAATGGAAGAGCGGTTTGTGGAAGCATCATTTTGAATGGCTTGTGCAAACATGAATGAAAGGTTTAAAATCCAATTTGAATTCAAGGGCTGAACGTTTAGATATTTGTTTACAAAGAATCGAAATTTCAGAAATTTTGATGAAAATTAAGTCAGCCGCGCAACTGCGTAAACGTGGGCTTTTTTCCGTTTAACTCGCAGCTTGAGTAACTTTTTTCATGCACGAATGATTTCATGCATGAGTGATTGCTCGGGTGAATAAACTAACAATGGTGTTGTGAAAAAAGTTACTCAAGCTGCGAGTTAAACGGAAAAAAGCCCACTTTTACGCAGTTGCGCGGCTGACTTAATTTTCATCAAAATTTCTGAAATTTCGATTCTTTGTAAACAAATACCTAAACGTTCAGCCCTTGAATTCAAATTGGATTTTAAACCTCTCATTCATGTTTGCACAAGCCATTCAAAATTATGCTTCCACAAACCGCTCTTCCATTTTTCGAGGTTAATTTTTCTGTTTGTTTTTAGTGTTAGAATGACCTGAAGATGCCAAAGCACCCATACTAGCACAAATCTATGAGATATTTAGATAAATTTATAGTTTTCTAAACATTTCAAAATTGTCTACTTTTTTTTATACACCCTGTATAATATTCCTTATTCCAACTAAATCCCATGATGCTGTGCGCGCGCATTCCTTGGGGTACCAAATCCCGCCAAAATCAAAACAAAATATTGCCATTTTGATTATTTTAGTACCCCAAGGAATGCGCGCGCACAGCATCATGGGATTTAGTGAAAATAGTGAATATAATATGTAACCTCAGAATAGCATATTTTTATTATATGGACATGGAATTCCTCGTGCGACCATCGCGAGTTTTCCGGTTTTGTTTTGTTCCATTGTTAAAACGTGTTTATTTTATATACGCGAGGTAGGAGATCTTTAAAAGATTTTAACTATTGTTTCTAAATGATCGCTTCTTGACCAGCTTTTGCTTCAAATCTTCGTCGTTTTAGTCGTGTCTTCTAGGTCTACATGTTCTTGTCTTGGCGAGCTTCTTCAACGTTTCGTATGTTTTTTACTCCGTCGGTCCACTGAGGTTTCTGGTGTTGTGCACGCTTGAGGGATACTTGCACACGTCATCAAAAAGAGTGGGCTGATCCTTATCCAGCCAATCAGCGTTGTGAGTGTGAACTGTGGGTTGGCGTTAGAAGCTCGTTCCAGCTCTCATATCTTGTTTATTTACAGCGTTGACGCACTAGTCCAGTTGGTCTTTTGTGAGTGTCCACTCACACTCACATAGTATAATGCTTCACTCACACTCCAACTATTCAAAGACACCACTCATACTAAAGTGAGGCTTTGAGTGAAGTGTGAGTGAGAGGCATACGTCCCTTGAGCTACACTCAGTTATGCTCAGTTGTGCTTTATGTTCAAATAATGATTCAAATATAGCCAGAATCAAGTGAAATATAGCGGTCAAATCAAACATATAGTTGAGCTATTTATCTGCGCCGGAATCATAATCAGCTTCATCGTCTTGTTTCGATTATGAAGGATCGCCACCACTTACCTAACTCTTTCTTCTTCATCGCGAGTATTGTTTTTTGGTGCGGGCCTGACTACAGATTGATTTGGTCGGATAAAGCTTTCCTCGTTTTGTTTTTCTTTTGCATTGTTTTGTAATCGTTCTTTTTACTTTTTAAAATAACTTTGGCTTCCGCACTAATTCTGTTGACAGCGACCTTTCCATGTGCGAGAAATATTATCTACCTTGAGCCATCTTATCAGTAACGTCGAACGAACGCATTGACCAGTCAAACTACAGTTTAAATAGTTTATATACCTTCCATCATTAATTACTAATCAACATGAAACCGTAACTCCAGCAAGTCGCATTCAACTGAGCTCTTTGAATACAAATCTGCCTCATATTTTCAAGGGTGAGCGCCGCCTCGTTCAGTGCCTATTCATATTCATACTGAACTCTGGTAAGTGCAAGTGCAGCATTATATTATGTGAGTGTGAGTGGGCACTCGTTGATGGTCAGGTGAGTTCCACTCATTTAGAAAGAGTGTCCACTCTAGCCTCCTCCGCAGGCATCTCTTATGTATCAAACTATATTAGGTTATTAGGCATGGGTTTGGTGTGTCATGGAAGGCGATGAGGAAAGTCGGAGAGATGCCTGCCATAAATCGACACAACAAGTTGCACTGCGCATACCAACTCGCGCATGCTAATTTGAAAAAAAATGACAACATCGTACTGTGTAGGCGGGAGTGGAAAGGAGTGAAAGCATTTTGCTACAAATTTGTGTAAAATTTTGTGGTTCTAGTATAGGTTCCTTAAGAAGAATAAAATCTTTCGTCTCATTAGATTCTCTTCTGACACTTTATAAATCTTTAATTCAGCCATATTTTGATTACTGTTCCCCTTTGTGGGACACTTGTGATAAAGTCTTAAAGGATAAATTGCAGGTGCTCCAGAACCGTGCGGTTAAAGTGATTACTGGTGCAAATTACGATGCCAGTCCCATGCAAAAATTAAATTTAGACACTCTAATTGTCAGACGTGCTAAATTGAAGAGCGTTCTGTTGTATAAGGTCAATGGACTTTCAGCTCCGTGTCTGACTAATAATTTTATAAAATTCCGAGACTTGGAGGGCTACTATAATCTTCCAAATTATGACACTGATTTAAAATTACCAAAACCAAGAACCAATTTTTTAAAACGCAGTTTCAATTACAGTGCGGCAAGTATGTGGAATAATCTTCCAACAGAAGTAAAAAAAGCTACCTCAGTTAGGCACTTCAAGAGTTTAATCTCAAGCCTTCCATTTAATCTGTAATATAGAATAATTAATTAATCTTTAATTAGTCTAAATTAATTATCTCTATTCTTGTAAATATTGGCATCAAATTTTGGCAGTTGTTATACCACATTTGATGCTAAGTTATTTAAAGACGCTGCCACGCTGCTCCCTGGTTATCTTGTAAATATTGTGCTACTTTCAATTTTTCTTTGTATTATTCACATGCCCCTCCTGGAAATCAACTATTATTAAAGTTGAGTGGGGCTAGCGTGTTTTAAATAAAGTGATGATGATGGTTTATTAAAGAAGGAATGAAAGTGTTTTTTATTTTAAACATGATAATCCGTGAGGTGTCTATCAGCTCATATACGACTCGAGTTCGCAGAATAACTGTTAAATAGTCCATCATAGACAACAAGTGAAAAGCAGGCCTTAGACTTAATAAAACACTCCTTTTAGTTAATTAATTAAATAGCAAATAAAAATTTGGTCTTATATATACAGTATAAGCACCTCTTGCATTTTTGAAATTAGATGATTTGCTGCAATGACTACCATATGGACTATAATAAAAAGCAAATCAGGGTAATATCCACCCAGACCTGATTTATCATACTTTCTTAGTTTTAGGATACATGCAGTCCATACTATACAAATTCAAATTCTGCTCCTTCAGACTAACACCTTTATAACTGGAGGATCTAATGGAAGGGAACAAAAAAAAGGGGAACTTATATCATAAGAAATCTAAAAACTGCATGCGATGTAGAAGTTAGAATTTGGTCAGCTTACTGAGATTTTCCCACATATGTAATCCACACAGTAAATATCAGAAATGGCAAGCACTGAGTGCAGATGTATAGCACACACATTATTAAAAGGGTGAAAACTTCAGTATTAATGTTACAAGGTAAATATATAGTGTCATAATGAATAGCATTATTTCATCTTCAAACAATTTTACTCTAACACAGTTGTTTACACAAAATTATAATTCAGGAAATGTACTATAATTGCAATTAAACTACAGTGTAGGTAATATGTTTTTTATTACTAAATAACTTAATATTATTATCCCCGAGCCGGCGCGAAGCGCCGTGCGAGGGTACTAATTCCGCTGGGAGATTTATTACACCCGGGTATTGTGACAGAACATAGCGGAATCCAAAGTTGCTCAAATTCTATGTCGTGGACCGTGGACGTTCATGGATGGTCATGGTCACTATTGTGCGCATGCGTGAAATGCGAACGAGTGTAGACTGGTAATCAACGAACGTTCTGATTGGCTAAGACAGAAAGTTTGTAATTCAGTGAGAACGTCAGCAATTTAACTGTCATTTCGTAAACATTTTTGTAATAACGTTTCATAAACTTTGTGCAAAGAAAGTAAAACGAGAAGAAACAAGATATATGAAGCATGACAGATAGCAAAGATGAACGTGGATACAGTCAAAACAAAGCCGTGTAAGAGGAATAATTCATCATCTGCAAGCTTATAAATGTTTTCAAAGACAAAGGGTACGTGTTTACTTTGTTTATCTCGTACTTGTTTCGCGGTAAGAATAAGCCGTATTTGTATACTTTTCAGCTTTGTATGCCGTTCATTTGTTAAATTTTCA